CATTTAGCACATATAGCGGTTCGGAGGAATAAAATAGTAATTTTAATGTTTCGAGTGTAAATTTATTTTAGTTTTGAAATAAATCATAAAAATAAATATTTTTAGGTTAAAATAACATTAAAAATTAATCCGGAGCGTCGAAAACCTTAGAGTAGTCATATAAATCACATTGGAGATTCTTATTGGTAAAATCGTAATTTTAGAGGAAATCAAATCAGCTTTTGAACAGTAAAATCGGGATTTGGCTGACCTTATAACCCCATTTCATCCCATTTTCCCTCATTTCTTTCACTCCACTCTCACCCCACACCTCTTGGAACCTTAGAGGAAGATTAAGGAAGGAATGAAGAAAAGGGAAGAAGGAGGTTACTAGAGCTTGGGTTGTTACTTGAAATTGTGATTCAAGGTAGGGGTTTTCTTCCATTCTTGTTCATTGGGGTTAGGGTATTTATATATGTATGTTTTGCCTCTAAGTGTTATATATATGATATGAAATCATCCCCTCTTAGTTTTTTTTTCATAGATTACATGTTTTGAACAAAGTTAGGGTTGAATACCCATGAAATCTCTTTTTTTTACTTTAAAACCCTAGTTTTTGGAGAGTGATGGATTTTTTTCTTAAATTCTTCCTTTATTATTGATTTCAAAACTATAGTGCTTTGCGTTCAGTAATAAAATGATGTTGTTGTGATCTCTTGTATTTTTCTTAATTGGTTATTGGAATTGTCACGTGATAAATTTTGGGATTTTTGAGATATGCTTGTAAATTGAGAAATTGAGAAATTGAGTTTGATATTGTAACTCTTATGAGTGTGAAATAACCATGGGTGGCCTTTGACGAGATATTGTAGAGTGGGTAGATGTTCTTCATACTACGTGTGGGTTTGAACTTTTCCTACCACTCGTAGTGGGGTTAGTGCTATTGTAAGACTGAACCGCTATTGCTCACGGGTATCGAGGCGGAGGGTTAGTATACTAATACCTGGGTTGGATACGTCATTGCCATTGGTATGGTATACACCCTTCCTAAATATTGGATATCTTTGAGAAGATTTGGGTGTGTGTGTATGGGCTAGATGTTAGTCAATGCGTTGATTCTTGTGGATGTCTTACATCATGGTTAAGATACATGTATATATTGTTGTGAAATGTTCAAGTTATGAGTTATTGTTTATTCTACCAGAAATGGTTTCTACAATAATCTTGAGAAGTACGAGATTCCACAAGAATTTGTGATAAACAATTTATGGTGAAATGAATTATTAATTGTATATTGAGTTCTTTTATTTATTAAATTATTGTTGTTACTTAAACCTGAGATCTGTTTCAGATGTCCCTGTTTTTTTCAAAAGTTATATATGCTATTTGTAAAATAAGACCGACTATTTTATATGCTTTTCTAAACCTTGTTCGGGTTTGGAAGAATTTTCCTATAGAGCTTTGTGCTCACCCCCTACTTAACAACCCTCTTCAGATTATCCTCTCGAGGAAGAGCTGGGAGTCGAGGAGCCCGAACACTGGGAGACTCTGATAGACGGGAGCGTGAATCTCAAGGTGGACGCTTAGAGCGACACTTTCTTTTGTTCTAAATTAGAATATTTATTTTGAATACTGTGAACTCTAATTTTTGTTTTGTTATTCTGCTACGCTATGATAATTAAATTTTTGGGATGTAAATGTCATGGTTAGGCATATTCGTTTGGATAATGTTGTAAACTTTATGGATGAAAAATGAAGTCTTATTTATTTATAAATCATACTAGTGCTCTCATGATGTAAATGATTTTAGACAGTAATGTTGTCAATATTTATTCATAAATGGACCCGGTGTGGTCAATGTAGTATAATTGCACAGGTTGTGTTTTAGGTAGAGCTCCCCGTACAAAGGAGACTCTGCCCGAATTTTATTAAATTAAGGACCCCCAATTTTTGGGTTGTTAAAAATATTGAAGGGTCATTACCCAGGAACCATAGAATACTTGGACCTGCTCCACTAATTCCTGATACTATGAAGGTCCGAATGACATATCCCACAATACAACACTTTTAATCTCACCAACCATTCCCGACTCCCAAAAATTATGTCTATCAAATACATGCAATGCACAAATAATTTTCAGATATATGAACAATGAGTATATAAATATGAACAATGTGTCACTGTATCAAGGAAATAAAAGAAAGAAACAAATAATGTACCTTCTGGAAAAGGACAAATCAAGTATGCATTTGGTTGTGAATTTGCAGGAGAGAGACAACGACTTTGAGAGAGGAAATAGGAAGAGAGAAAGACAGAGGGAGAGAAAGTAAGGAGAGAGGGAGAGTGGGTAACGGCTGAGAAATAATGGGAAGCAATTAGAAGTGATGGTTGGTTTAGTATAACATTAATTCTGAAGGATAAACATGACAATGTTATAGTGTTAGAAGGAAAAGATGAAAAAAAAATTATTTTTTATATATGCTAGTATTTTAAAATAGTATAGATTTGTGTGTTTTTTTTATTATCGTTATGAATATTTTTATCACTATCAAAAAATGTAATAAAAATAGTTATCACAATAGTAATAAAAATAGTCATAAAAATGATAAAATTTTTAATTGTAAGATGATTTAAAAAAATTATTAAAATATTTATTAAAATAATAAATTTTAAAAATACAGTACTAAATTTATGTTTTCTGACACCGTAGTCGAGTCGCTAAGTCTTGCACTGCTCAACAACTTTTCGTGTGCTTCATATTTACTCAATTTTTCTGATAATTACACGGATTCTATTGGCATTTGAAAAAACTGACTAGATCCCAATCATTACGTAGCTTAATGATTAAAAAAAAAGATATTTTTTTACCCTTCATTCAAAAAATATTATTTAATGAACAAGGGAAATGCATTAACCCAACAGCCCGACTCACCACAACCACCCTCAACCCCAGCTCTCCACCCCCACCCCACGCAATCCCCACCAAAAACAGAACATTCTATTTATTTGTGGTAAATGAGATGATTCGGATGAAGTGACATGTTTTCATAGTGTCATGGATCAGAAATGTTTTGGAACTTTTGTGTTAAGTATCTTTGCTTTCGTCTCATGGATCCGAAGGTTTTGGCATAAAGGGCATAGCTCACCACATAGCGGAATGTAGATTTGAAATACACTCCACAAAGGCAGAAGCTTAGTGGAAGTTTTAAGCTGCAACCTATGAGCGGTTTAAAACAGTGACCGTACAAGTTTTGATGTGATATCTAGCAATTTTTTTGGGAAGGTAAATAGTGATATTGGGTTATCTTCTAACTCGGAATCATGATCCGTTCGCTTGGGTGGAATCTTCTAAACCCATCTTGTAATCTCTATGCTTATTGCTCATCATCTTTGCCAGTTGTCTAGGTCACGTTCTGTGGGCTTCTAATGGGACAGGAGCATATGCCATATTGTGATGATTTCAAAGCCATAGGTCAGAGGGTTTTGATTTGTCCATTGTTTTGGTTTGCTAATTTCTAGGCTTTGAGTTCTCGGGTTGTCTGGTATAGGCTTAGTTTATGGCTGACACATAATCTTTGTTTTACGGAGTTGGCTTCGACACCAAAAAAGTGAAATTGGTAAGATGCCAAAAAAATAAAATGAACGTAGGGTCATCACCTGTACACTCTTAAATCTATAAAAATTTATTACTGATTTCACCGGTATATATTTTAAAATAAATAAAACCGCTATACACTTTAAAAATAAGTGATAATAGAAATTAAAATTAGTTTTAAAAAATAAAAATTGTTTATCTTATTTAAAACTAAATAAAAATATAATAAACAATTTACAATATTTGAGGTTATTGAGTGACATTAAAAAATATTAGGATGTTAGATTATGTTATATAAGTTCACCACTATTTTAAGTGATAATATAAATTAAAATTAGTTTTAAAAAATCATAATTATTTATCATATTTAAACCTAAAATAAAAATATAAGGAAAATTTTCCAATATTTAGGGTTATTGAGTGACATTAAATTTACGATTAAGTTAAAAATATTAGAGGTTAGGATTAGATTATTAAATTCACCAGGCTAAATTACAACTAAAGTTTAGCACCTTTGGTACACTTTTGGTGTTAAATTAAAATAGGTAAAAAAAAATTGGGGTAATATGAAACTAATTACATAGTTGAGGGTGTAATAAGAAAAATATGAGGGAAAATTGAAAAAGGTGATAATTTAGGGGTATGAGTGAAATTTATTGGCAAGCTAAAATCTTGATCGCTGGTTGAGCAATCCAAATTAGTCCAAGGATCGAGATTGGTTTGCAAACTTGATCGCTAGTGAATGCCCGGTTGCTACATAGGTGATCCAGGTTAAATCGCTCATATAGCAATCAACTTCTTGTTTTTCTTCTATTCCCCCAAACCAAAAATATCCAACTCCTCAATACCCTAAATCATCAATCTAACCTAATTGCATACCCTAAATCAATGATCTAACCCCAAATCTAAACCCAAATCAGTGAAAACCCAACTTGATTGCATACCCAAAACTCTAAATCAGGTGAGGGCTTCAAAATTTGGTTGCCTAATCGTCTCGAAATAGCCTGCATCGTGCTTCTCCATCAAAAAAGAGAGAGAAAGGTGCCTGCGACTTGGGGGTTCGACTACATAGTTGTCTCTCGTGGTTGTCTAACTTGCGCGTGGGGTGTATACTGTACAGTGATTGTCAAGAGAATTCAGCTCCTCTACGGTAGTTTTCTTTTTTTTTTTTCTTTTCTTTGGTTTAATTAGCGAAAAACAAGTTTCTTTCATCATATTTTTCTATACATAGTTGTCTCTCTCTGTCTCTCTCTCAATTTCATAAAATTTTTGTACACATAGTTGCATAAGGGATGTGTTTTAGGGGTTGAACGAATTATGGTTTTTGTGAGTGATAGTTCAAAAGTAATACAATCCTATCTTCCTCACATCTCCATCAATTGTTATTATTGCTCTTTTTATTAGTAGATTTTTTTCTTGTTACAGCAGAATATAATGACCAAGAAGTATAGGCCAAAAGTTGTGGATACCAGTGAAAAAATGAAGAGGAAGAAGAGTTGTAATGATCCTCCTTCTGATTCTTCCGCGAAGAAGAAATGTAATCATCCCCCCTCCATTGATCCGTCATCCAGAGTTAATCCCACCTCCACCAATCCAATTGATCCCACTGTTGATCCCCCCTCCACTAATTGTGATCCCTCCTTCAATACACCAAGTTCATCCAACCCCATATACAACGAAGACATATCTTTCTTCAACAAAAATTGCAAACATTGGTATGAGAAAGTGCTTTTATTATAGGCCTTTGTTATTGGAGAGGGGTGTTTTACTGGATCAATTAAAAGAGGTAGGATGCGATGTTATTTTTTCTCTTCATCAATGGAATTCTGCAGTTGATATCAAGAAGATGGATAAAGCATATAATACATTGGTGAAGATATTTTATTCTAACATGCATGATATTGATAAAGGTGATCACAACTTGTATGCCATTGGAAAGGGTATATGTATAGATCTACCTTGTTTAATATTTGGTAAAATTATTTTGGTACATGGTATGAAGGATAGGCGGCAATGTCTCTTATTCCCAATTTTGATTTCAAAGATTATGGAGGATTGTGGAGTTGTGATTCACTCAAGCGACACTTATTCTACTCCCATGAATCTAATTTATGGTGGGACAATAAAAAAGAGTTTGGGGCAAGGGAAGAAGAAGAAAACTCAGCAGCCACAACAGCCACAAGTTGAAATCGAGAATGAAGTTGAAGTTGAAGTTGAGCATGAAGATGAAGCCCAAGCCCAAGATGTCCCAAATTCTTCCACAACTAGTCTTCCTCCTGATCTTCCTCCATTGACTGTATATGGAATGTTGCTGGTACGATTGGGCAGAAAGATGGAGGAATTTGAAAAGACTCAAAATGAAATAAAGGAGTCTCTAAAGGGGATCGATAGTAGGTTGGATATAATTGAGTCTTTTTTAATGAAAAACAAAGAAATATCTAGGAAGTGACAATTATATGTAATTGTAGTTATTGATTGTTGATCTAATAGTTGAACTAGCAGTACTGAAATGTGATTAAACAAATTTATGTAATATGATATGTTTTTGTCAAAAATCTAAAATATATTTGTTCTTTATACATAAAATAAGCATGGTAATGGTTGTGATGAGCATGATTGTGGTAATTTAGTAGTAAGATTATAAATTCTTACCGTAATTTTACCTCTAAAAATACACTAAAAAAGTTGTATTCTTACACCCAAAAAAGTTGTATTCTAAGCCCAAGAAAGTTGTATTCTAACCCAAAAAATGGTAATGTTAACCAAAAAAGTGGTAATCTTTCCCCCAAAAGTGGTAATCTAACCAAAACAATAGTAGTCTTACCCTAAAAATTTATAATCTTGTCTCAAATAATTGGTAACCTTATTAGAAAATATAATATTTTTACAAAATAAAAGTGATAATGTTACACCCCAAAAAGTTGTATTCTAAGCCAAAGCAAGTTGTATTCTAACCAAAAAAATGGTGATGTTAACCAAAAATAGTGGTGTTCCAACCAAATAAAATTGATAATGTTACACCCAAAAAGTTGTATTCTTTATATATAAAATGAGTTTGGTTCTTGTGGAAATGCAACATTCCTATAGGGAAGGGAAGGTAGTTGTAGACTCTTTGGCCAACCAAGGAGTCTGTGACAATGCTTCTCACACTCATACTTCCCCTTTCACTCTTAATCTACATACGAGACAACTTTTACTACAAGATCAATGACAAATTAAATCACTGCGGTCTAAGATTAAAGTTCTTTGATAGATTCAATGTCAAATTAAATCTAACAAATTGGATTTTATGATGTAGCATACAAATAAGCAGTTTAGGCTCTATGACATAATAAGGCCATTCAATTGCCTTATTCGGTAAGCCCCTCCACTTCTCATGGACAACTATTTCTTGCAGCTCATTCAACTTGTTTTCTCAGCTGGCCTCCATCTCTCAGCTTTTGCTCGCAACCCATTTAAAGCATTGTTTAGATTTCTAGGTAGCTATTTTTTTTGGAATGCTGGAATGTTCAAAATAGTTGCTACTGAAATGTGCTAGAATTCTCAAAATAGCTGCTACATGACTTGATCCAAAATGTGTACACCAAAGTGTAGGCAGTCAAGCTGTAGTAATAATCCAGTTAAGTCCGGAGTCGAATCCACAAGGAACTATGATTGGTGTTTTGAAGTAAGCAGTGACAGAGACCAAGTAACTGGAAACTTTGAGAGTTTGAAGTTATGGGGTTTGTTGGACAGAATATAAGATTCTTTCCAATTGATTTTTTTTCTTGAAAAAATATAAGATAAATTATCAAAGGTAACAACCACTCTTTAGTTCGAGGATCAGAATATGTAATTAATCATCCGGATTATTATACTTGTGTTTTATAACTCAATTAATTCCCGTGTCAACAAGAAGTTAATTGGAATATAAAGATGGACTGTGAGAATTAAGCACATGGTTTCGATGCCTCTTTAGAAGTTTACAAGAATTGTCTGTGTCGAGACTCAACCCATCTATAAACAAGCAAGTGTTTCTACAAGGCATCCAACCATGACATTAAATAAAGCACAATAATGGTGAAGATTGAAATGTTGTCATGAAGATCTAACTGGGGTACTTGCCTTGAACCAACGGGTCTTTCTATGCAAGAGTCATTCGTGTCATAGAAAGATCCCACGGTTATACAAAGTACCTTAGCTTAGATGCATTCAATCATTCAAAAAGCAAGTGGAATATAAAGCATTAAAGTATAAAGGAAATACACAAATATAACTTTCGGATAATTTATACATATTCATCACCTCTTACTAAAGAGTGAATGAAGAACTAATCACTCTTCATGGTTTTGGTAAAGTTAGAAAAGTGAGTGATACTCATCCCTCCAAGTAGAGAAGTTATAATGTAAAATCACAATAAACAAAGAGTTGATCTTCAACAAAAAATGAGTGAATCACATCCCATCCTTCACGGCTTTGGTAAAGCTCTAGAAAAGTGGAATAGTTTCACTCCTCTAAGAAAGAAGGAAGCTCAAGCAATGGAAGTGAAAGACATGAACAATGAAAGTAGAAGAAAACTAATCACTTTTGGAGGGTTGCTTCCTCAACCAAAAGATGGGGGGTTCCTTCCTCAACCAAAAGATGAACTATCTCTCTTGTTACAAGCAAATATATATCTAAGCATAAGACTAACTATATGAGTGGGAGTCTAAGCCTCCATCCAAGCTCTCTACCAAATCTCCCTTTCAAGCTCCCACAATAGGAGTATTTATATGCAAGGAAGAGGGAGCAAAGTAGTGTGGAGGAATAGTACAAGGCATTCAGTGTCCAAGTGAAAGTCCCAATGTTCGGAGAGAAGATCAACCACTCTGCAACTTGTCTGTGGAGAGCGTTCGAACATAATCTGGCGTTCAAACGTTGTTTCTATTTTTTCTTTTTGGGCATTCGAATGTTGTCTGGTGTTCGAACGTTTCTTCTGTCTTTGTTTTATAGGTGTTCAAACCCTAGATAGGGCCTGACCTTCTCACTCAAGTGGCCTGTGGTCTTCTGTGGAAACCTATTTTCACACTCCATGCACATCTTGGCACTTTACACTCATCATCTTGGTCTTCAATCAACTCAAGTTGACGTTCGAACGTGAGTTACCATTCGAACGTTGTACTCAAGTACCTCAGCTTGTTGCTTCTTGGATACAACACCCCATGTCTTTAATTAGTTCAAGTGGATGTTCGAACATGAGTTGGCATTCGAACGTTCTTGCTTTGTTCCAAGCTTCTCCAATTGTGTCCCTCAATATGCTGGTGTTACATCCAAGTGTGATATTTGTTGATCTTAAACCCTTGCTCACTTTAGGACCTGAAATGTCATCATTTAAAACTCCATCAAAATGTAATTAGTCTTAAAAAGGCATGGAAATATGCTAGTTTTAACTCCTAATCACTACACATTGCTCTTCTTGGCTCTCTTAGCTACTGTTCATGTGACTGTTCAGCATTCCAGCACATTTCAGTAGCTGGTTTTATCAGTTAGGAAATTATTTTTTGTTTTTCCTTGTAAAATCATGCATTAGAATTTTTAATTCCTTATCACATTGTAATTAGATTGCATTGAGGGTAGGTAAATACGTCCCCCTAGCCAGGTTTAATATAATTTTTAATCAATAAAATTCTCTCACAAAAGTTCTCCAAAAAAAAAAAATAAACGGATAGCTTAGTGAAAAAAAAACTTGGTATGGAGAACGTAAATTAAACCTTTTCATTCAAAGTTGCAAAGAAAGTAAAATTTCATCAACTCATCTTGCTCCATGATCTTGGTGCCCACTGTGATAGCATAAATTGATTGTTAGATGACAATGGTGCAAAAACAAAATTTGTGGGATAAAATTTGTAATTTTTGTAATTACCTCCATATTACTGAAACTAGTGTTGATGTATTGTGATTGAATGGTAGAATCAAAACTTGACATTCCATCCTAAAATAACAAGGAATGAGTACATATGAAAACAAATATAAACATCCAAAGAGTATTATGTGAACCTAATAGATGAGGATTCTCTCGTTGACAAAGAGAATGCAACAATCATCCTATTTCAATGATGGCATAGGTTGTTGTGATCCACCATGCTGTGAAAAAGACATGTGGGGTGGTTGGTTTGATCCACTTAGTTATGAAAAAGGAATGTCATGTGGTGGCTGTGATCCAATTGGTTGTGAAAAAGACATGTCCTCGAATGGATCATTGGATTGAGACATCAAGAGTGGACATTTTCTAGCATTATGGCCAGTGCCCCTACATTTACTACATTTTCATGGGTTAATTGGAATATTCTTTTGTGCACGACTATGATTACCCTTGGTTTTCACAATCTTTGGATCATTCACACCGAATTGTGTATTTGTTACATTTGCATCGTGTTTGCCAAGTGACTCATGACGGGCTTTTAGAAGAGAAGTTCTTTGTTGCACCATACTCCTCAGGTCATTTGAGTATGAGAACGACTATGAAGCGTAATAACACATTTGGCTGCACATTGACAAAAGTCCAACATAATGCGTAGGAATTGACACATTCGGTTTTACATTACCACATTCGTGTGCACATTTATACCTAGATTTTACTTTAATGGTCCACCTGTCCATCACAATGGTATTAAGAAACTCTTGTATGTGCTCATACTTCATGACCGCGATCATGTGAGAGCATGGAATCCCAAAAGAGTCAAACTTCATGCAATTGCATTTAAACGCATGAATTTGAGGATAATATTGCACAATCCACCATGATTTTGATTTTGTGAATCGAGACAAATAGTAACTCAGATGACTTTCAATCTCGATATTATCCATTACAAAAAATACAACTTCTTATTGTATCTTATCATGGACCATGAAGAAAATCTTTCTGGTATATAGAGCAACAACATGCTCTAAGCATCTCAGTGCTGTCTACATAACTGGCCTAAAGTGTTCCGACTCAAAGTCATCATTGGCCTCACACTCCCTGATCCTTGTCAAGCCCCTATCATAGTGCCTAAGCAAACTCGAATAATCATTGACTTGTTTTTAGAAAGCGTTTCAGGTAGGCATTCATACTCTCTGATCGTTGTGTGCTTTTTAAGCCGACAAAAAATTTTCCTCGCAAGTACACTTCAGCCCATATGAATCACTTTACATAAAATTCCGCTATCCAATTATTTGTCTCCAGTCCAAATGATTCGACACTTGATTTTCACTCATTTTCAAATTCTTTCGGAGTACATCGAGCATACGTGCACCTCTTGAATGCATTGACAAAATTTTCAGCATTTATATTTGTGAAAGTATTTCTAGACAAATGACATCTACATAAGCGATGTGTCACTCGAGAAAATACTCTTTCAATTGCATCAGCCATTGCTTTATCTCCATCAGTAATAACAGATACAAGCATCTTGTGTTTCCATTGCATGAAGAAAGGTATTCAATACCCAC